GTATTGCATAACAGCCATTCCATAGTATCCATTCCTGCGCATTTGAGTGCCGCATCGCCGTCTATTTATAGCGAATCGCATCGCACACCAATTACACTGAGCAGACGCAGTGACTAACCTCGAGCGTCTTTACTGGGACCTCCGCCGTTCGCAACACAGGACATTGTGCAAGACGCGATACAGAACAGTTACGGGTACTGTCGGATTGACGGCAAATTGAACGCCAAAGCACGCGCTAAGATGGGTAGGTGGGGACTGCATTGAGCGTACTGTGTCGCTTTACGGATATCAGCTAGTTCGATAGAAGTTCAGTAGATTAGTTCGGTAGATTAGTTCGATAGATTATTACTACAGGCTAACTCGACAGATTGATTCGAAAGATTAGTTCAATAGATTAGTTCGATAGAGTAGTTCGATAGAGTAGTTCGATAGATTAGTTCAAGAGGCTAACTCAATAGATTAAATCGATAGATTAGTTCCGATAGATTAGTTCCGATAGATTCATTCGATAGATTAGTTCGGTAGATTAGTTCAACAGGCTAACTCGACAGATTAATTCGATAGGTTAGCTGTATTCCGTATGCCATGTCGCACATGCTACAGCGTAGATGGGCTACAGTGACTGTTGATGATCTATTCTACTCTTATAGTATACACACACCCTGTAGTGTGTTGCTGCGTGTCGTGAGGCAGTGAAAAGTGGTGACATGCGCACGCCATGCAGCATCATATACCCCACCCGACTAAACACTGTCGTTCAAAACCGGGTTTGTACGTGGCACTAACTTCGTTTGTGCGTGTTTATGGGGCATGTAGCCTTAACCCGTTGATGAGCTAGATGTCTATGCTGGATAGGTACTTGAGGTGTATGATAGTGTCCTCCACTCCAATTGTTGCGGGCGTTACCTATGCGCTTGCTGTCTGTTTCGCGTTTTTGTTTTTCGTTCTGTGAGGTGTTTCAATCAGAGAGATACAGACTGTGACACGTCATAGCGGGGCAGCCTTGCCGCGTGATATGCGCACCACTACGAACTCTGCGACAATAGCAGCGTGTTCATGCGCGTTGTATATGTATTACGTGAAGGATGTGAATGAATGGATACACCACATGGGCGATTGCTGCAGCATAACAACACACCCTCTACCTCTACAGTAATCTCTATCCCAAACGATGCACGCTGTTACGACAGCACCCACTGAGTAGCGTGTGGTTTACATTGTTTCTAACTAAAGGGATATACGTTGTGTGCGACTACACCGGCCGAGGAACATGTGTTTTGTATCTGATGTATGTACCTGCTGCAGTTTAGAGGCGGATGGCTCACGTGCATCTCCATTATCGTTTGGTTTTTTTATTTGGACCGCAGTGCACTCCTTCTACAACGACGAGGACAAGTTCTTGTTTCTGATCAGCAAGACAGCCGGTGGCACAGGTATGTAAGTCATGTAGTTTATAAAGGGCATATAGTACGCATGGGACATTAAGTACACTTAAGTCTTATGGTATATATGATATGTAGTACACATAAGGAATATCGTACATACAGGGCATATAGTACACATAAGACTACATTGTACGTATAGGACATGTAGTACACACAGGGCTATATAGGACCTAAAACACACTTGAGGTACATAGTACATATAGGGCATATTGAACACATAAAGTATATAGTACATACAGTTCATATAGTACACATAAAGTATATAGTTCATATAGTTCATATAGTACACATAACGTATACAGTAGAAATAGTTCATATAGTACACATCAGGTATAGAGTACATATAAATCATAATGTATGCCATATATGTACTATATGCCCTGTTGTGTTGTAATTTCAGCTCCGTCAACGCACTTTCACAAGTATTTCGCTGCCTCCGTCTTTTTGGCTTATTATATGCGGATGGACTCCATTTTTCCGAACGAAAGAAAAAAGCCTTTGAAGCTTCTGTCTGCCACGCATGTCTTGAGAGTGTCTTGGCGTGTACCGTTTTATAAATATAAGACGTATTACGGGACATTGGTTTCTGGGAGACACGTGAGGTAGGCCATTGGCCATACCCTATGTGTGCCCTCAAAGTTGCACCTTCCTCTGAGCGGGTACAATACCTACTATGTAGGTGCAATACCTACTATGTAGGTACAATACTTACTATGTAGGTACAATACTTACTATGTAGGTACAATACCTACTATGTAGGTACAATACCTACTATGTAGGTGCAATCCCTTCTATGTCTGTGGGGGTGGTCATTTGGGTCAGTGCTTTCATCATATGTGTCACGATTGTCAACTCCAACACCCATCATAAGAATTTCATTTTGTCAGTATCGATCGGGTCGGTGCAAACGTAGTTTTTTCGGTTTATTCTGAAATAGGACATTTTTGCCAATCCGGTTTATTCGGTCCAATTAGGTCTCAATCTGGTTGCGGCCAACGTGGTGATTATTTTGGACCCGGAGTGGAACCCTGCCACCGATGCACAGGCAGCCGATCGGGCGTACCGAATGGGTCAGACCCGCGATGTGTTGGTGTACAAGTTTGTGACAAAGGACTCGTACGACGAGATCAAGTACGCACGCCAGGGCTATAAGAATGAGCAGGTAGTATGAGTGTATGGGTGTATGATAAGTACTTAGGGTGTATAGATGTTTTCATGGCTATAAGAATGAGCAGGTAGTATGAGTGTATGGGTGTATGATGAGTACTTAGTGTATGTGGATGTTTTCATGGCTATAAGAATGAGCAGGTAGTATGAGTGTATGGGTGTGTGCTGAGTACTTAAGGTGTATGGATGTTTTCATGGCTGTAAGAATGAGTGTATGGGTGTATGGTGAGTACTTAGGGTGTATGGATGTATTCATGGCTATAAGTATGAGCAGGTAGTACGAGTGTATGGTGGGTGTATGATGAGTATTTAGGGTGTATGGATGTTTGAGGGTCCTTAGGGCTTATGTATGTGTCTGTGGTGGGCTTGTAGAGTGTGCGTATGTATTTTAGTATGTATTGTTTTGTGAGTACTTATGGTTTATGGATGTGTCTGTGGTGGGTGGGTAGAATGTGTGTATATATTTTAATATGTATTTTGCAATGTTTTGTGTCTGTGGGGGGTGTGTGTAGTATGTGTGTATATATTTCTATATGTAATGAGCAATGTTTTGTGGCGTACAGCGGCATTTGGGCTATAGGTCTGATATACAGATGCATATGATTGTATAGACATAATGAATAGTCACAATCGAATGTGTGGTGGATATGGTAGTACACGGCCACTGACAAGCGTGAGGTGTCTGTCCTTGCGCTTATATACTCTTACAGTATCCTAGCAAATCGCACGTCGAGTCGAACGAACACGATTCACTTACATATCAAATTAACGTACAGGCACATTACATTGTCCTGATAAGACCTGTTCTCTCATATGTAGGTGTACAACGACTCTTCTACATGTATGTTGCAGATTACTCATGTATATGCATATATGAAGTACTCTGTTAGAGGGCACCCATCTCTGTGCATGTGAGAGATTAACCATCTATGAGCATTTGCGTGAGGTTATCTATCTATGTGCATATGGGAACTGATCATCTCTGTACATATTAATGCGAGTGTCCACTGATTCGTGCTGCACGCAATGAGCCATCTTATTGCTGCACCCCGTGTATGTTAGTTACAGCGTGATAGTTTAGACCTAGAGATGGGTCTCTTTATCCCACGCTGCATATATGACGACATTCTTATTTGAACGTAACTTATACCACATATCTGATGATGTTCATACTCAAACATTGCCGTTCCTATCACAACTCGAAGTATCGGATCCACTGACATTCCTTACACTCACACACACACACACACAAATA